ACGCCCGCCCACCCTGCAGAATTAAGAAGGCTTCCCTCGCTTCCTCTTCCTTCTTCTTCACACACACGGAACAAAAAACCTTCCGCACCGGCCCAGCAGAAAAGGGCAGAAAAGGCAGTGGCATTTCTTAAAAGGTGATCCCATTCACAAATACCCACCGTGTGGGCCCTGGATGCCGCCAGCCCATTCCTGGCTGCCGCAGCTAAAGGCACTGATTGGGAAGCCAAGAAGCAGGCCGGCTGCAGCGATTTTGCTGCCCTCGGCCAAAATTCGTCTGGGCCCCCCAGAAAGGGTCTGGCCAGGGTGCCCACTGCGTCCCTTCCAGCGCTGTCATGGAACCGAGGCTCACGGGGGCGCTTGGATCTGTTGCCCGCTCTCAGAATTCCCCGTCCCTCTGCTCTCGAGCTTGGCTGCTGTCTGCACAGATGCGGAAGGGGGGAAGGGGACGCATTTCTGCGCTGCTGCTTCCTGCCGTAATCAAAGCGGCTTGGCAGGGGCCTTGAATGGCAAAGCAGGGCATGCTGGGTGTCCTGGCTCAGGGCGCCGGGTTGGAGAAAGCGGGAACCGGGGCTCTCCTGAGTCAAGTGGAGCGTAAGGACGCAAAGCGCTCACGCTACGTCTTCAGGGCTTCCACCCAAATTCTGTCAGCCTCTGAAATCTCACAGGGGCAAGGCGAGGGCAGGACCCACTGACAGGAATTAGACGCAGCTCATCAGACCCAACCCACCCGGCCGGCTGCCGTGTGCTGGAGCCGTTCCGAGGGACCAGAAATAGACAAGGCTTGTCTCTAAGCGCCAAGTCAGGATGTGCCCCTTGAGTGAATCACAAGAATTTGTAGCCAACTGGCTGGCCAAAACGCATGCAATGCGGAGATTGCAGGTGTGGCTCATGGAACCGCAACCAGGCAAGGAGAAGGAAAGCGCCCTGCAGCTTGAACCACCAAGTCTCTCTCTCTCTCTCTCTCTCTACCCAATTATTCAGCTGTGTGGGATGGCCGCACTACAGAACCCATCCCGACACTATGCTTTGTCCAGTTCACTTTGAAAGCCACCCAAATGTCCCATGGGAAACTCAAACTATCAAGCCCAAGACCAGAGTTTTGCATTGTGGCAACCAGAGAAACTGCTCCAGAACCAGTGAGAAATGCTTCCCCTCCAGCCAGTCCCAGGTGGCAACCCAGGGGCCGCGGTTTGGACTAACGGGAGTTTCCAAACGGCCTTCGAAGACAGCCCACAATGCTTCCCAGCAGCCTAAGTGGGAGAGCACCGCAGCTTGAAAAACAGAGACCGAGCAGATGCCCAGTACTGGAAGGCCTCCAATGACTGAACCAGGAGTGCCCCCCAGCAGTGCCCCCCAGCAGTGCCCCCACATGCTTCCACTCGCCTTGCCCACCCCAGGATCCTCCATCCGGCTGGGAATTATGGGAACTGGAAATCAGTGCATGGGGGGACGGGACGACCCAGTTAGGGGAGGTTGCTGTAGGTCCTTCTCCTCAGAGATCACCCCTTAAAAGTTCTGTAGCGCCTCTCCCCTCTTTTGCCAAATGGGCTGCCCATCTCTGTGTCCTCTTTGTTCGCAGCACAGAAGCTTCAACTGACATTGAAAACCTCAAGGTGCACAAGGAAAGTCTACGGGAACAAAGCCACTGAACCTCCGCAGTTTGTGCCCCCGTCGTTCCAGGCTGCACAGACTCCTGTATTTACCCCGGGGTGAAACATTTGTTCTGCACAACCAACCCAGTCAGGTTTAAAATATTTTCTTTGCAAGCACAGACAAGTGCGCACCTGTAGCCCTGGGACTGGGCAAAAGAACTCCCTCAACAGGCATTCTTTTCATTTACTGTCAAAATTAATAAAGCTCAGCAGCTATTTGAGAAAATGATCGCTCTTCTGGGTACGCTGCTCCCTTGCCTGTGTTATTATGTTGGATTTAGTAACTGATTGTTAGCCGACGAGACCGCTTCGTTCATTTTTCTAAAGGCAGCCAACTTATTTCCTTACCTTGGCAATGCAGTCCTGGGCAGGTCTACTCAGGAGGAAGTCCCTTGGCTTCAGTGGGACGCATTCCCCGTAAGAGTGCAAAGGACCGCAGCCGTCACCATCGCCGGCCTAGCCGGCCTCAATTTAATCCTCCATTGAGGCCCCCCTCTCACTCTTTCTCACCCCCCTTCCACCACTGTGCTCTTCGCTTCCCTGCAGAGACTTGCCCGTGCATCCGTCCTCTCCCAGCCCGGGAATGCTCTAGGCAAGAGAAACTTTTCCCGGATCTCAGGCTGAGCGTGGCGTGCCAGCAAGATGGTCGGCCGCCAGGCTCCAAGCCCCCGTGCGGACACGGGGCCCAGGGGCGCACAGTGCATCGTGTGGCGAACAGAAAGCCGGTTTCGAGCATCATCTCACACAAACACAAGGCACATCAGGACGGAACGGAGGCCATGAGGATCTCGAGCAGGTTTCTCCACCCTGGAGCCCTCTAGATGTGTTGGACTCCAGCTCCCACAATTCCCAGTCAACACGGCCGACGGCTGTTGAGATTCTCATGCATCCTGCAGCCCCGAGAGGGTCCTGGGATTCCCCACTCTGAGCCCACGGGGGCGTTGGGGGGCTGCCCACCTCCGCCTTGCATTCCTCAAGGAACCAACTGCAGGGGCCGCCCTCTAACGCTGGCGAGGGGGGAAGGGGGGACATGCCGGTGAGGAGGCAGCGGGAGACGAGCGATCCGAGGCCGGTCCAGCTGCCTCGGAAAGGCCGCCACTGCGTGGGCTAAAAAGCCAACCTGGCAAAATATGCAGGGCAGGGCCAGGGGGCGAAGCTCGCCTCGACTTCTCTGCCCACGCTGCACCGCATGGTCAGCAGCCTGAGTTCAGGGCAGCAAGAGCGCAACCCAGAGTCCGGCACCCTAAGGGAACCCCGGCCTCTCCCACAACAATGCAGTCCCCCCCCGCCCCAGTTCTTTGGTTGGGAGCCAAGGGAGGGCAAGACGCTCGGCTGCTTTGCCATGCAGAGACGCCCTTAGTCCTCTTCATTCACGGGGACCATCGACAGCTTCGGGGGCTGAAGCAAAGGCCACCAACTAGTCCTGATGCTGCCTGCAGGGTCGAAGGCGAGATGCCCATGTCAACCAGTTGCTGGGGAACATGGGTGGCAGGGTGCTGCTGCCTTCTCGTGTGTTCCCGCACACAGCTGTTGGCCACTGGTTGGACCAGGACCCGGACTGGGTGGACCTCACACTGACCCAGCACCGGGGCCCTCTGAGTGCTCCAGGGGCCACCCTGCTGTGGAAAAAGCGAGCTCTCTCCTTCTTGATTACAGACCAAGCTTGGAAACACTCCAGTACTGGGGGAAGGGCTGCCGTTCCCTCTGTACCGACGTTCTGCCCAGACAAGGTGCCAAAGCACAGCCTGGAGGAACAGCCAGTTGTGCAGAAACCCAGCTGTGCGCCACGTGTCCTGACGAATCAGGCAAAACTCTGTTTTTATGGCGGCTTGGTCTCACCCCAAACGCTGCCCTGTGAGGAGGGGCTGGGAGAACAGGGCATGCTCAGCCGGGAGAAGAGAAGACTGAGGGGGGACATGGTATCCCTCTACAAGTACCTCAAAGGCTGCCACAAAGAGGAAGGTCAGGATCTCTCCTCGCTGATGCCAGAGTGCAGGACACAGAATAGTCAATTCAAACTGCGACAACCCAGATTCAGGCTGGACATCAGGAAAAGCTTTCCCACTGTCTGAGCAACACGGCAGTGGGACCAGCTGCCTGGAGAGGTGGGGGCCTCTCCCACACTGGAGGCATTCAAGGGGAAACTGGGCAGCCCTCTGAGTGGGACGGTGTGACTTGGTGTCCTGCAACAGCAGGGGGTTGGACCTGATGACCTTCTTGGCCCCATCCAGCTCTACTATTCTCTGATTCCATGGTTGTATGATTCATTCTCGGAGCAGCGCCCACTGGTAGGGCAGGGAGCCAGATGAAGGCCGCAGCTCTGGTTCACTTAGCGACGCGCCACCCAAGGCGAGGCTCGCACGCCCACTGGAAGACACACTCCTCTGTCAGGTGACCACAAGCCAGGGCTGTCCACGTAGAGGTCCCCGGAAAAGTGAAGGCTTCTCAAAGGGAGCTTGGAGGGTCAACAGGGCCAGCCTTCCCCAAGACACTAGTCCCTCCCACTTAGCCGTCTCTCTCCTGCGGCTCGCCCTGGCCCACCCGGCCCTCTACCGGCATTTGCCGAAGAGGCTTGCCTGGAGGCAAGGGGGCCTGGGGTGGATGCCAAGCCCCCCGTGTTGTTGGGGAAGGCCGGCAAGGTGCGCGGAATGGGCTTCTGCTGCCGCCAGGGCCTGGGAAGCCTGGCTCTCCAGGGCCCCCGATCGCGAGGCGCTCTGACCCTGCACCAGCCGAGAGCAGCTCCAACGGGCCCCTTGGGAGCCCTCCTCCCAGAGAGCTCACAGCTGGAGCGTGCAGGCCGGATCCTTCCACATGTACGGGGACGCCTGCCGGGGGCTTCACGGTCACCTCCAGCAGCACAAACGCTACATCCTGCCTTTTTCCCACCAGCAGAGCACCCACGGCAGCTGATGTGAGCTCCTCTTCTCCATTTTACCCCCACAACTACCCTGCGAGGTAGACTAGGGAGTCAGGGACTGGCTCAGAGTTACCCAGTGAACTAGCTGCACAGCCAAGCGGGGGCTCGAGTTCAGTACCCCCGAACTGCCACAGCACACCGGCTGTGCGTATCCATTCTGCCGCCCTGGCGCTGGCCGGAAGGAGGAGAGGGAGAAGATGAAAACCAGGAGATGGGGCGTGCAGAACCGGGGCGTCCGTGCCAAGGGGCAGATCAAGCCTAACACACCAAACTGAGTCGCCCCCAGCCCCATGGTCCACAGTGCTGGGCTGCAGAATACGTATGCAGCTCAGTCCCCTGGATGTGACCCCCTCGTGGCCCCGCATCGCGTCTGGCAACACTTGGAACAGACCCAAGTCCTACCAAGCTCTTAACTCAAAGGTGCGGCTTACCTGGTTGCGGGAAGGACTCCTCGTTTGTTAATGTACTGGACAAGATGAGGACCAAGGCATCCTTGAACTGGTCAAAGTGGACCTTCAAGAAAAGGAAAGAGAACATTTTCAGCACTTCGTAGAGAAAGAGACACGGGGTATTAGTTCCCTGAACAGAGTTCAGTCTGCACTCCCTTGCCCAGAATGATAGCGGTGAGAGCCAGGGTGCCACAAAGGTTAAGAGCGCAGTGCTGGGACTCAGGAGATCCGGGTTCGGGTCTCCGCTCCGCCATGAAGCCCCGAGTGACCTGGGGCCGTTCACAGACTCTCAGCCCAACCTACCTCACAGGGTTGTTGTTGTGGGGAGAAGACTGAGAGCAGCTGGGCGAGAATGATCTAAGCCACCTTGAGATCCTTGGCAGGAAAGCAGGCCAGACAGAAATATAATAAACAAACAACTAGTCTTTATATAGTCCTCAGGGTCTTCACAGGCAAAGCTGCAGCCCAGTCGCCATCCTTTCGAACCTTGTTATATCCCTGCCTGAGAGCAACACTGCTGCAGCTCCAGACACCTCCTCCATCCATTCCCTCAAAAGATACATTCCTTCTCGGCCAGATATTTGGAAGTGCCTTTCTGAATACCTCACGATGCCCTCTTTCCTCCTCCATTCCTCTGTTGTTTCCTCATTTTCAAATTTTAGATTGGAAGTTCCTTGGGGCAGGGACCTTCTTGTATTTTCTAACGCACATTGCACACCAAGCGTGCTAGATAAATAAGACTGTTACTCTGTTCCCAAGGCACAACCTGGTTACTCCCAGTCTCCTGGTGCAGAAGCAACCAAGAGTTATCTGCAGTATGACGATTTATTGTGGCATAAATTCTGCTCCGGGGTTGGGTGGATGACAGATGCCCAGATATTTTGCATTTCAACTCCCAGAAGCCCCTGGGCCACTGGTGAGGGATGCTGGGAGCAGGAATGGGAACACTAGTTCTGTTTGAGACCCCCGGGCTTCTGTCAGTGTTGCCTCGCCGCTCGTCTCATGCGCCATTCCTGTTTGCCATCCCCGCTCAACTATGCACATACGAGAGATTCACACAAACGGCACAACAATCAAAGGGGAGATTTGCATAAATCTCGGCAAATTTGCACAAAGCTTCCTGCATCTGCACACACTTCCTCTTTAGAATAAAGCATGGCCGATTTAGCTTGCTGGGAATCATTGAGCAAACCAAACATGGAAGCAAGAAGGAGATGCATCCAAGCTCGTGTTGAATAATTCACCATTTTTCCAGGCAACACACAGAGTCTGGGCCTTTGAACAGAAGAGGCTCATGAGTTTTGCAAGCAAAACCAAAATCAGCATATATCCTTAGCCCGGAACGGAATGCAGGACCTCCTTCTTCTCAGCCCTGCCTGGTCCACAAAAGCCTGTGTTACGATACACCCCTCGAGTCTTTGAGGTCTTTAAGCTGGAATGTGGTGAGGTTTTTCACTAGGTTGGAGGCACAAAGACCAGGCCCCTTCCAAGCACCCCGCTGTGAAACGGTGATGGTGGGTCCCTTGGTGTCCCCATCAGTGAGTCTGTCTTACATTCTGCTCTTGCGCTGCATGGACTCCAAACGGGCCACAGATCCACAGGAGAAGCAGGCAGGATGAGACGGAGCGTGGCTGTTGCATTGCATGGGGTCCATCCGCCCAGCCGGGGCTTCTGCCCTTGTGGAAAGTCTGGACGAAATGTGTCGGGCACTTGATAGGTCGGATTCAGGCTGGCTGAAGCTTTGCTTCTTTTGCTCTGTGCTTCGGAGCTGCCTGCCTGCATTTCCCCTGAGAGAGTAGGGGGTCAGGGAGGACGCCAGGTATACCTTCATATAGCAGGTATATGGAGGTATAGCCAGTGCTGCCTTCAGGGCCGGAGGCAGCATGGTCTGGAATAGCGGCTGGAGGGGCTGGAGGGTGGGTTTGCTCGGGGTATGCTCGCACCTCAGCGCCCAGGCCCCTGCTATGCATTTGGATGCCTCCAGGTGGGGCCAGGGAAGAACCCACCTGGAAGCCTGGACAGCCACTGCCAGTCAGTGTGGACAGCACTGGCTATGTGGCCCTTGAGGGAAGGCAGCGACTGATGTCCTCATCTCTTCGCGGAGGCATCCGGTGGGAATGAGGAAGCTGCTTTCAACAGATCTTTGCCTCTTCCTATATTCTTAAGAGACTGAGAAACGGATCAGGAGGCGTCTGCTCCAGATCTTGCCTGTGCCGTGGGTTAGCGGGGTGGTATTCAGTGGCAAGACACCCTCCCACATCCTCACCTCCCCGCAAACGGAGGGGGAGGAAGACGGTGGCCAGGGCTGCGACTGCTCATCCCATTTACAGTCCACCTTCTTCCTCTTGCAAGGAACTCCAGGTAGCTCAAGCACTCCTCCTGCACCTCTCGATTTTAACCTCACAACAACCCTGCGAGGCGGCTGAGCCGGAGAGTCAGTGGCGGCCCCAGAGCCCCCCAGCAAGCTGCATGGCTGAGCGGGGACTCGCACCAGGCCTGGCTGTGACCCGGCCCCGGCTGTCTGGATGACAGTCGCGAGCCAGCCTGCAGGGCGGTTGCAGGGACCACAAAGGAAAGCCCTCGTCTAGCAAGACTGCCGCGCACTGCAGGAACGCGATGTGCTGGCGCTGGGCCTCCCCCCTCGGACACGCCTGCCGGAGTTCGTGTGTGGCATCAGATGTTCGGGGATCTTTGGGTTTTGCTCTCATCTGTGCGCACTATTTAGGGCTTCCCCGTCCAAATGGCAAATGCTTTGCGGATATAAAAATACCGCCGTGCGTGCTTCTGTACAGTATGTGCAACTGGTTCCTATTCTCCCCCCCCCCCCCGATGCCGCTGCCACCATTAATTCCAAACTGCCACACTATATTTATCCTCTTTGGAGAGACTTTCCCGGGCTGACGCCCCACCCCTCCAAGCCTCGCTTGCTGCTCAGGAAAGGCTTTGCCCAGGCAAGCTTCAAGCACCTCGCCAGCTAATTGCAACTGGATGGATCATTTTGCTTGTTTGAGATTTCCGGCGCTGGCTATCGGCAGCAAGTGGCTTTCGTGCCACATCAGGCCCCTGGGCTCTACGGAGACGGGTGCCGTAGCCAGAAGCCTGCCAATAAACAACTTTCGTGAAGCGGCGTGGAAATAAAAAGTCCACCAGTGAAATCAAGAGGGAAACCACCCTGCTTCTGTCAAGGGCAGAAAGCAAAACCCACTCGGGTTCAGCTGTCTGAACGGAAGGCTCACCGAGGTTTGGCCCACGGCAGGTGTCAGAGGTCAACATAGTGGGGCTCCTGCTGGGGGGCCCACTGACCCCCCCCCGGATTCCCCCTCTTCTTCCCCTTTGCAAACTGCTTGCTCATCTGCCAATTGCCCCCAACCCAAATAATGCCGACGCCACGAAGGAGAGCAGAGGCGGCCAGGGCCGGCTTCCTCCCCAGATCGTTGCCGGTGGCAAGGATGAGAGAGGAAGAGGATCAAGAGCAGCGGGCTACGGTGGGAAGGAGGCCAATTCACGGAGGGAGGAGAGTCTGGGGAGGGCTCACCCCGAGCCCGCAAAAAGCGGCCTCCAGCCTGCCCAGAATCCAAGCGCAGGAAGGCAGGTCCCGCCTGACATCTTGCTTCTGGGTGGCCCGCAACCAAAAGGCACCCTCCCTTGGAAACTCGGCAGCCAGCGATCACACCGAGAAGCCCCCCGACGGCTACTCCAGCGCGCCGGTTGATCCAGTCCCGGGTGACCTTGCCAGCCACCACCACAAACCCATCGCCCAACGAACGACTGGGCAAGGATCAAGCGTGCGAAGGAGGTGCCCCCACACCTGGCTGCCCCTCCCCGGTCCCAGGCGTAGCAGGCGGGACTGACCTTCCACAGTCAAGGCGCTTCAGGGTATGTGGCTGGACCCGGTTCTGCCCAGCCTCATCGCCCACGCGCCACCCCAGTTCAGAGGGGAGTGAACAATTCCGTTGCTTGGCCAAATATTCTGAGATGGGGGAGCCAACCCCCCCTTCCTTCTGCATTAATGCCCTTCTGACACAACAGCAGGGTGCGTCCTCTCTCTTTCCCAAGCCTTTTTCCCGTGGTGTTACTGGCCTGTTATTCTCCATCTCTGTTGCCAAAACATGCTGGCTAGTGTGTTGAGTTTGGAGCTTTTTTATGGGATTACAGGCACAATCCTGTGTCTGCTTGATGAGAAAAGAGGAGTACGGCTTCCAGGGACACCAGCCAGCACAGTGTACCGAGGACTGCCCCTAAATAACTTTTACTGGTGTTCTGTTTCTTCCCCCATTTCAAAAGAAAAGGGAAGCCAGTGCCGGCCAGTGACCTGGAAGGAGAGCTTGGAAGCCACTGTGGGTTCTTGTAAGAGGAAGGAGGTGAGCTGTAAGTGCAACATAATCACAATACTGTACTTTATTGCAAAACCGTTTTCAGTGAAGTCAGATGCACTTGTACTGGTGCCGGCATTTATCGTTTCCCTTTATGTTAGATTTGAGTCTTCCGGTCAGCTGCTGCGTTTGTAGCATTCTAAGTTTGTTTGATTTTGTACCTTGCGGACCGAATGCATTTCATAAAGGAAGGGGGAAGGGGAGCTTAGCCCCCTAAGAGCCACTCACCACGTCATAGAGCAGGGCCCCCGGATCAGTTACACAGAGGGGAGACCTGTCAATCACAGGGCAACTCCCGCCCCCGATATGCACCCAGCACCGCCTTGCTGATCTTGTGTCCTCAGATGTGTTGGACTGCAACCCCCATCATTCTCATGAAATTCCGCACTGGCAGGGAATGATAGGCATCGTAGTCCAATGCCTTTGCCAGGTGGCTGCCCTGCACGGCCTAGCCAAGCCCAGACAGCCATTCTGCTGGACTGCGGGTGTCTATGCCAGCTGTCTCCTGCCTAACATCCTCTAGACGAGTTGGAATTCAACCCCCGGCATGCTGTTTGGGAATGATGGGAGTTGCAGTCCAACTCGCCGTAATACACAAGTTGAGCAAACGTGTTTTTTGTAAACCAAAAACACTCCTATAACGTATCCCTTCCTCAAAGTGATGCTGCGCCACCGCCTTCACCAGTTGTAT